CCCCCCCCCCCCCCGCCGCTGCTGCCGACCACCGACAGCGAGCCCTCGGTCATAATCCGCACGCTTGCAGGGATCGGAGAGCGTCGAGTACGCAGCGTGGATCCTAATGAACTCGTCTGCAGAGCTCGGCGAGTTCTTGCAGACATCAGGGTGACAAACTCTCGCTAGTTTCCTGTACGCTGCCTTTATCTCGTTGCCATTGGCCCCTATCGACAGCCCGAGCACGCCGTAGAGCGACGGAGAGGTCGTGGCCATGGACACGGCGCTTGATGCTTTGATTTGGAAAGATGAGCGATGGTGATGAGGTGCTGGAGATTTTCTGTTGAAGAGATTTGAGGAGGGGAAGGAGATTGAAGAGAGCATGAGGAGCTTTTGGATTGTTTCGTGAATGAAGAGAAAATGGAGGGTAAGAGGCTTGTTTTATAGAGGAAAGGGGGCGATGTGGGACTAAAGTTAAGAGGTATGGAGACCTATCAAAGGAGACAGTGCCGTACGCGGCTGACTCGGCTTAAGGGTTGGATTGTCGTGTGTTTGAGAACGTAAAGGCTGGAAATTTGAGTCGGGGGTATTAGAAATCGAGGTCTTGATGAGAGCAGAGATCTCTTAAATTCGTGGCCGATGGGATTTTAGTGTAGCCCGAGTCTGATACCAATTAGGTTCGTGTAAACAAACTCGGTAGTTATGAAATGAGTTGAGGTTCGCAACTTTAAGCTCTGACACTTGAAAACGCGAATCAAAGGGTCAAGTTGGATAATTATAGATTTGAATCGATAGAAAATGCGTATATCTCAAAAATAAAAGGTCTTCTACGGATTCATGATCTAGTTTATGCTCACATGTCCAAGATATCTGATATTCTGTTGCGAGGTGCTCTCAAATTTAGGGCTCAGGAAGGTTTTGTGCGAAATTCTCCAAAGTTCAGGGCGGTTTTTGTGAAATTTACCCAAATAAGAAACAAATTGAAATTCTCGGTTACAATAGCTGGAGTTTCTAACCGCCAATCAAACTGCTACCTTGTCTGAGCGTTGGAAAGACGATCTTGAAGAGCAGAGCTGTATATGCACCGGAACTTTAGGATGGTGATGATAATTTCATATTAAATTGAGAAGAATGTAACACCCTACCAATGATTTGTTTTCTTAACTCGTATATACATAATACATCATCAGTTCATCACCGAACACTTCGCTCAACGTCCCCATTACGCTCTCCTTCTCACCTTAAAGCCACGAACGGAACCAACGATATTGGCCCTGATCGATCAATTAGTCCCAATCCACTTTTTTTTTTTTATATATAATCCTTGCTTTAAGTTTAAATGGTGGTGGGTCTGCCTTCTAGAAATCGAATTAGGTTCTATCTACGCGTTGGTTCCCAAATTAATCCCACAAGTTTGTGGTTGTGTAATGCTAACTAAACTGCAAGTCTATTTTTTATGTTATAGATTCAATTCTGAATCCTAATCATAATAATTCTAAGTTTTATTGGCTATGTATATATACAGAAAAGTAAAAGGACTTTTATGCATAAAATTCAGAGGGTTAATTACATCTTAAATACCCAAAAACCCTACCCCAGGCATATATCTCTTTGTTGTCGTTTTCTCTTTTTCCCGTCGCTGTTTCACCGCACAAAAAAAAAAGGGAAAAAGAAAGAAAAGATCTAATCTTTGAATGACGACTTGATCAACTTTACACCGATGAATAAGATAAAAATCCTATTTCTATCTATAGCAAGTTGTAGAGGGGTTAGGATAAGCATAACCCCCTCATGTTTACACAAACAATTTTAGTATTAGTTTCATTGGACTTTTCTCTATTTTAGATGGATTAGGGCTTTATTTACCATCTTTTTCGTCTCCTAAAATCGATTTATTGATCTTGTTCTGTATTCGTAGTCAAATTCCAGTCTGAAATAAATAACATTCTACATTGCAATTTAACATCTTTTTCACCGTTAGCCCCAAAAGACCCATAGCGTTGTTCTAATAGTAGTAATATTAGCATATATAGTTTAATTAATTTAACCGTTGCATTTGAATTTTGCAGTTATGAGACTGAATTGTCACCGTCGACGAAGCTTGGTGCTTATCAGAATTGGATAATCCTCGGCACGGATGAGTCAGCAAAGGACTCTGGTGTCAGTAGCTGTCTCGGCTTTGGGAATTTCATGTGGTCGGAGATTGAGGAATCATTTAAGGGCGGAGTCTGCAGGGACAAGGGACGAGAGATATTTAGAAATTGATTGGTAGCGACAGCCCCTCGCCTGCTCATCATCACCTCTGTTTCCTAGTTGAAGAGAGGACCGAGGAGCATTTTGTTTTGATCTTTTCAAACGTAAAGCATAAGCAGTATGAACAGGGGCGGATCTATATACACTCCTCCCCAAAATTTTAGGAAAAAAAAAGATATGATGGTTTTTATAAAATCTCATTCCTTAAAAATTAAACTATATCCATTCTTTATCTTAAAACCCACACGTCATGCCTCATCCCTTAAAAATTCTCGTCTATCTTTTGTACGTGGTCCCCCTAGAACTAAAATCCTAGATCCGCCCCTGAGTATGAATTATTATTTTCTATAAAAGAAGTATGATTAAAGCTCATAAACTACTAAAGATTTCATCTTCTGACAAAAAGTTAAGGGTCACGTTGTTACTTACCTCTTAAACTATTGAATTTATTTCTCTTACAAATCTATTTAAATTGAAGGGATACCGCTTTATTTCTCTTAAACTATTGAATTTACCTCTTAACAAAGTAATAAAAATGAAGGGATACCGATTTAATAGTTTAGCCGTCGATGAATTTAATTGTTTATGAGGGGCAAGGTCAGACAAAAGATAATTAATGGGACAAGCAAGGAATATATTTGATAATTTAGAGGGTATATACAGCTTGTTTGGATGGAGGGCAGAGAGAGAGGAAAGTGAAGATAATTTTTTCATTTTAACATTGATTGGGAGTTTCATTTAGGAGGGTAGAGGAGGAGAATGAATGGGAAAATTGGGCCAAAATCTTACACCCCAATTTGGGATGTAAAGGAAGAGGAATTTTTCCCCTTCCTTCCTCTTCCTTCCCTTTCCTAACTTCTCTTCACCCTTATTCCCCTCAATCCAAACAAGCTCTAAGGGTGTGTTTGGATTTCAACGGGGTTAAGGGAAGTTAAGGGAAACTAGGTGAGAGAATGGAAGAGAACCTTGGTTACACCTCAATTTGGGGGTAACAAATTTTATACTATTAAGGCCCTGTTTGGCAAAGGGTTAATGAAGAGGGGTTAAAGAGAATGATTAATGTACTTAGCCCATTTGATAATCTGAAAGACTAAATTATTAACCAGTTAAATAAGTTTTATTTTAGCCCTTATGATCAGTTTTAGTGTTTGGGAATAACAATGATTTTGACTATTTTCTTTATAATTAGAAGGATTAACTCTTATTCCATCTAAATAGGAGTATTAGTAAACCCCTCATTTTGAGGGGTTAACTCATTTTAACCCCTCTAGAGGGGTTAACTTAACCCTTCTATATTTTTTATGTTTGGCAAATTATGGAGGGTTAACTCACTTTAACCCTTATATAGATTTGTTGTGTTTGACAGGTTAAGAAGAGGTTAAGTCTCATTAACCTCTCACTTAACCCTTGCCAAACGGTACCTTAGGGGGTGAACCAAGGGGAACTAGGGTGAATAACTTCATCTCCTAAATGTTCCCAAACAAGGTGAATGGTTCCTCTAACTTCCCTTCACTCTTATTCCCCTCAATCCAAACAAGGCCCAAGTGAACTCCCAAACATGCCAATAATGACTAAACTTACGAGGCAAATAAGGCCCGAAGCCAAATTTAAAATTAGGAAACCAAAAAAAAAAAGAAAACACTCCCATCTCAAAAACTAAATTGCATAATATAATATAATATATTAACCGGACTTATAATTTGGGGATGAAATTTTCCTTACAAAAGTGTAACAAATATCAATTTGCAAAATTTAACGGGCCCCCGCTAATTAATCTTCTGGAAGATCAATTTACGAAGTCGAATTTCTGAATCCTTTATTAGTAACCCACAAGAAAGCTGAAAGGGTAAAGGCCAAGGCCTCAATGACTTCGTTCGTATGTGTTATTTCTTTGTCAAGTGAGAAGCAAAAGAGATCCTAAACATGACATTAAATAAGATTAATACTTGGTCGGCACGAGATTAAAAAATTTCTCTTTAATATTGTTATGATGCTTTTCACGTCCCGCTCCACGATTAATAGATTGTGAACTTTTTCCTATAAAAAGAAATTTCAATGAGATATAATTTTTGACTTGCATCTTTAAGGAGCTCAGATTCAATAGACCATGTGGTGCACGATCCGCCGAATTCTAAACGCCAGAGACCAGCGAAATCATGGGCATGTTTCTTTCTCGCATGCCAGCATGAAACGAAATGCTCGGAATAAAAAATGTATATTTTTCTCGATAAAGTAAACGACAGGAAATATTATATGTGGGCCACAAAGCCTTGTGGATACGCCCGGATCTCGTGGTATGATTAATTACATATTTTTATAAGTCTTAATCAGCCCATTTGCTTTGAAGAGGTCTACGGTTTCTAGAACAGGGGCCCACGCAGAAGCTGGATGACACGTGCATCATATATCAAAGGAGTGTGATCCTGGCCACATTTTGAGAAAATTTTTGCCGTGAAAGCCGGTCGATCTTTATAGGCCTAATAAGATTCTTAACTCACTACTCGCCCCCCTTCTTAGTAATAACAATACCAATTTTAACTCAAAACTGGATCGTGATTACTCCTATCACAACAGTTTCAGAAGAGTTTGTCAAAAAGAGGCTAAAACCGTGACGATTCAATTGATTTTAAGGTGTTTTGATTGAGTCTATCATAAATATGTTCTTCAATAGTAAAATTACATAAGTGCCGAAGAGAGTAAAAAACATTTCATAAATTTGCACTTTGGTATTACATCATGAACGTACCATTACCGGGGCCACAGCCCAAAACCCAAAAGAAGAAACTCCCACAAGAAAAGTGGAGGAAAACATAAAAAATTACTTTACTCATCTCATTTAATAATACGGTGACAACACATTTTCTCCCCTATTTTTTTTATAACTTTAACAAACCAAACATCTGAAAGTAAAGAAAAATATCAAAATTCACCTATATCAATTTTCTTTCCCCCACTTTCTGCATTTTTTTTAAGAATCAAACATGCCCTAACTGGATATTCGTCGAATTTTAAAACGCGATGAATTTAGTATCAAATAATGCTAAATTTGGACCCATCACTAAAATCAAGATCAGACGATGGCCTCGTATGAATCCAGCCCACTCGTTTCTATGGGCCATGTTGTCCCCCGCCCCACAGGGCCACAGCCCAAAACCCAAAAGAAGAAACTCCCCCAAGCAGCAGAGCCGTCTGCAATGGCGGAAAATTTTCCCACGCTCTGAAGGAGGAGGCAAAGAAAATATTGATGAAGATCGTCACGTACAACGTCAACGGTCTCCGGCAGCGCGTAGCTCAGCACGGCTCCCTCCTCAAGCTCCTCAACTCCCTCGATGCCGACATCATCTGTCTCCAGGTAACGGCAACCGAAACCCTAACCCTAGCTCCCTCTCCCACAATCAAACCCTAAACCTAGCTTCATTTCTCATTCAGGAGACGAAGTTAACGAGGCAGGATCTCTCCGTAGACGTAACCTCTGCCGAGGGATACGAGGGTTTCCTCTCCTGCACTCGAGGCTCGACACGAGGACGATTCGCTTATTCTGGTAAAATCCTAGTCAAATTGTAGATTTTTTTAGAAGAAAGTTTGGATCTTTGTTGATTTCTTGAGCTTTAGGTGTTGCCACATTTTGCCGGGTTAAGTCGGCATTTGGCAGCGATGAGGTGGCGCTTCCAATGGCGGCCGAAGAAGGGTTTACTGGGACTCTTCATGGCTTGAAGAAGAAGGAGATGATGGTTGGGGAGTTTGAGGTCGAATTGCCTTTGAATGTGGAGGGGCTTGAGGATGTAACCAATGAGGATTTATTGAAGGTGGATAGTGAAGGGCGTTGTGTTATTACAGATCATGGTCATTTCGGTGAGTGAATTTGGTTGTTGATGGTACTTAATGAATGTGCGTTGCATGCATGTTGAATTCTTAGGATATTATTGTCAACTTTTGGGATAAAATGCAGTGAACTAATCCCCCCCCCACACACACACACCCCACCCCACACGCACGCACACACGCACACACATCATATGGCCGTCTCATGTGCTATTTGTCATCAAAGATTTTTGTTGGGGACTAATCTAGGTTATGTGTACAGTACTTTTTAACCTATACGGCCCTCGAGCTCAAGAAGAGGACCGGGAAAGGATTCAGTTTAAGCTTTTGTTCTTTAAGGTGTTACAGGTAATCATATTTAACACAGCTAACTATTATCGATGAGTTTTATTTTCAGCATCCATGTATATCGCAGCCGCTGGTCTGTCAGACAGGCTTAAGGGGAAAAAAGAATAAGTCTCTTGAGGATTCACGCTTATATGAATAAATTCAGGCATCCACATCCGTTATCTCCTTTCATTTTCCTATTCTATATTGCTTTCTAGAAGTGAAGTTGTCAAATTCGGAATACATTAGGCATCTTCTTTCATCTATATAAACGCATTGGTCAATTTGTGATAATTTAGTAATTTATCATACAACAATATATGTCATATAAATAAACAAAACCTTGGAACATAAAGTAGTGGGCAATTAAGGAAAAATGTTAAAAGCTTGTAAACAGAAAAGAGCAATATATAGCTATATGTATATAGTTTGCAACACAGGTCTAGTTGAGATGACCATCAAAATGACACAATAGCTGAGCCTGAAAATTTGGGATGAAGGCTCTGCCCTTATAATCAAAATGACACCTTATGGTTCAAGTCCAAGCATTGCAGCTGGGATTCAGTACCCAAATTGTAAAATTTTGAACCTTGAATGACTTTGTTTGTAGTGTCTTGCACCTCTGTGTTGTTAGATATCATTACATATTAGCTTGTTCTTTCATTATGAGTGAGTGTAGGCTGTCTAAAAATCTCAATGGATAGCTGATCCCCACGAGATTACAAGGCAATGGTTCCTTCAAATCAACAAACCCAACGGAGCAAAGGGTTGGATTTTTAGCATCTAAACCGCACGGGTTTGGAGGATCTTCAGGATCTCAACCGCACAGAGAGGCAGGAGAGGCGAATTCCTTGGAGATAGAAGATTTGAATCAAATTCAGAAGATCAAATCTAAGAGGATTCTTCAACAACAGAAGATTTGCTTGGTCATTAATCGAATTTTCGGTTCTAACAACTCTATCCACAGAGTTCTAACTCGTTCAGAGTTCTTAAACTCGTTAAAGAGTTACCCATCAAACTTTCTACAGAAGTTCAACATTCCCACGAGATAGGACGGTCGGATCGTCAACGGAGAGCAAATTCGACGCGAACAATCGAAGGAGGCATTCCATCGCTACCGAGAAGAACCCAGTTTTAAACAAAGGGGGGAACCAAATTCGTTCTCTTCTCTTTTGTAATCGAATTGTAACCAGGATCGAAGAAATACAAGTCAATTTTCTTTTATTCTCTTTATTGCAATTTTTCCAACATACAGTGAACTAAATGTTTTAGTGTGTTTCTCGGTAATGTGGTCTCCAGAGAAACAAGATAGTAGGACTATTTTTTCCCGTATTTTGTAATCTAGATTTACTTTATGATGAACATGACCAATTACATCTTTTTATCTTGAAAATCACTTTCGAGCTTTAGAATTATATCTGCTCTTTAAACACTTATATTTTGGTCCAAGAGAAATAACAAAATCTATGTTAATGTGAAATCCCAGCATGAGCACAGTGGGGGATCAAGTCTTACTTGATTTTTTTCTTCTTTGAATGCTTTTATTGTTATATATAATGTCAAATTGTTTTCGGGGACTAACATGATCTTTTGTCTGTGCTTTGGGTACAAAGGGAGCAGGCCTTATGTGTATCTGTCAGTAGATTAGCTTCTTTGCATATTATCTTCTCCTCGTCTGCTGTGATTTACCTGAAGTGAACACATCTGTTATAATGTTTTTGTGAGACAAACAACTTGAAATGACCTCATTCTTTACAGTCTTTTGCTGAGCTAAACATGTAATGCAGTAATAGACCAATTTTCTCCCTCAAGTTGTTTTCCTTTTTAATTGGAGTTCATTATGTAAGTTTTTATGCTAAGACAAGACCATTTAGCCACCAGAAAAAATTAGCTTTTGCAGTACTGTACTTCTGAGTTCTGTTTAATATGTGCGGTTAAGTGGTTGATTGAAGGGGGGAAAATAAAAGAAAAGCATTGACTCAATTAAGTAGAGTAAATAATCAAACACAATCTTCACTAACATTTCATTCCATTTGCTCACTTTACCAACATCGAAGTATTTAGTAGAATGCACACTTATTAATTTGTGTTGCATGTTTCTGTTGTTGTAGTTCCCATAACAGTAGATAAGTTGCATATGTTTTGTTCTTTCTACGTTTATTCATTACTTTCTGTGTGATTAATGACTTCTAATTTGTGCTGTAGTCTGTCCTGATACTGTTACCCCTTCGTTGTAGAAACGGTGGCAATCACTTCTAAGCCAAGGGAGGAGTATTATTGTTGTTGGTGATCTCAACATTGCCCCTGCTACTATGGACCGCTGTGATGCGGAACCAGGTTTCGAGAAAGATATGTATGTTAAAATACTATTAGGAGACTAATTTTTTTCTTCTATAAACCAGTTCATGACATAGAACATAGTTTTATGCATTTTTTCCCGAAATCAACACATTAATTTCCAATATGCTTATTTTTGGTGACGCAGAATCCATTCTCTGGATTATATGTCCAATATAGCTTGTTGAACTTACTTAGCAACCACTTCGGATAATGGTTCAAACGATATATACTTTGACCACTAAAGTCATAAGTCACTTTCCATCCACACATTTCAGAATAAACTTAGCAACCATTTCAGAATCAATCTTTTTGTTCTTTCTATGGAGGGCAATTGTAATAGGAGATAAAGCACTGTGCAAGTTAGTTGATTTTGTAAATACAATTGAGGGATCTGCCACAATCTTCCTGTGAATTCATGGAGGAAATGCTAACTTCCAATCCACTACATGCCAGCAGGACAGTGTGATGGTGGTAAAAGATGTGGGGTCAGAGTGTTACCCCTCTGGTTACCCATCTAGCAGGTAGTTTGGTAAAAGCACTGTGCAAGTTAGTGAGTTGATTTTGTAAATACAATTGAGGGATTTGCCACAATCTTCCTCTGAATTCATGGAGGAAATGCTAACCTCCAATCCGCTACATGCCAGCAGGACACTGTGATGCTGGTAAAAGATGGGGGTCAGAGTGTTATCCCTCTGGTTACCCATCTAGTAGGTAGTTTGGTAAAAGGTGCTTCATGCACAATGGTTCTAACTTTTAGGTATGGTGTTATTCATGCATTAAGTAGTTCTCTTGGTTGGACTATGCCTAACTTTAGCTTATAATATAATTTTCTCATGTATAGCTCCTATTAGCTGAATTGGAAAATTGGCTGGCATTCCCTAATCTTCCATTCTTTTGGATGCAGGTTTAGAAAATGGCTAAGATCTTTGTTAAGAGATTCTGGAGGTCCTTTTTTTGATGTTTTCCGTTCGAAACACCCAGCAAGGTAGAAATCCCTTATTCATGCTAAGCTATTCTTCCGGTCAAATGGAAACTAAGCATTATTTCACTAATTGACTGTTGTTTTGTGGCTGAATTATGTGAAATTTGAAATTTAATATGATTTTTATTGTAATTTGTGAGTACTAGAGCTGTAGAGTAGTAAAACCATTTTGCATTCTTTTTCTGGGAACAAAGCCCTGACTCTTTTAGTTAGTTTGTTTAAATGTTGTTATGTCCTCAGCTTGTAAACCTTCCTTTGGTAGCAATTTCCTCGAGTTCACATATCATTTTTTTTTGTGACTATGAAGTATGACTACATTGTTAAGTCATTAGTAGGTACTAAAAGTGTTAACTTATTTTATTCATTCTCTGTACTTGGATAGCAATTGCTGGTACAAATTACACTTTCCTCATTCATAATTAAGGTACCATATTAGGAGTGCATATTGTCTTAAAATGTACAATCCTTCATTAAGTATAAACCGTATACAGAGCTATAGTATAGGTGCTTTAGTTTTTATATTATCATCAAGTAACTCTCTGTAAAACTAACATTAGCTTTCCATTTCTTACAAAATTCAGACGAGAAGCGTATACTTGCTTCTCACCAAGAGTTGGAGCTGAAGAGTTCAATTATGGTTCGCGGATTGATCATATCCTCATTGCTGGACCATGCCTGCATAAAGAAAATGATTTGGAAGGCCATAACTTGTTTAATTGCCATGCTGAAGCATGTGATATTATGGTTCAATTTAAAAGGGGAAAGCCTGAGAATACACCCAAGTACTAGTCAATATCAATTACTTCAAAAATTAAATAGTTTTCCATGTAAGACTCTATATTGATCTAGCCTATTTACAGATGGCAAGGTGGAAGGACTATTAAACTGGACGGGTCAGATCATATACCTGTTTATGCTGTCTTAAGTAATATGCCTAATCTTTCTGTGCATAACACCCCTCCTTTGGCTGTGAGGTATATTCCTGAGGTCCGTGGATGGCAGCAAACTATCGGTGAGAATCAGTCTTTTCTAGAAAAGGTTGAGCTACTGATTTCATTCTTGAAATTGAGTCACATTTTTTTAACACCGATCACAGAGGTAGTTTCTTTGTCAGGACTGTGTTTTTTTTTCAATACATAGCAGCATTCACCTGGTGCCTTAAGAGTTGCAATATTTCATCCCCACATTCACCCAAAGATAAAATAAAATCAACAGAGGAGCACACAAATACTAAGAAAAGCCACTAAAGAGAAGGAGAAAGAAAACTGAAATGGCTCTGTTGGTGGCAAGCAGTGTCATAGGAAGATTGATAACTTGTAACGACCCATGCACTCCATTTCACCAAATATTTTTGTTCGAATCATTCAAATCCTTGCAACCAAGGCAGACTAGATATACAAATAATAATAATATAATGTGTTCATGTAAACTCAAAACATGTATTGCTATAGGAATATCCTGCTATGACAAAGTTAAATCAAAATGTTCATAACAGTTTTTGTAAGAAAAAAATAAAAGGATGGGAATAATCGTTATAAGTGTATTCTCCATCACAGCTCTCCTAGTCAAGGTTCACAATAGATATTGAATACTGTTGATTGTTGAAGACATTTTAATTGTATATTTACTCGTGTACAGGCATCTGTCTATATGTGCAACTCTGTTTATGCCTACAGATTTGTAGGGACAAAAGTAAGACTAAAGATTGATGACTTTCCTCGCATTTTCTCATTTTGGCTGTATCATAGGCTGGTACATATGCTCATAATTGAGGGGCAGGATCAACATGTTTGATTTTTGGGGAATGAACCCTTGAGTTAAGCACATTCAAAGCTATTACCATTTCATGTCTTGAGGCATTAAATAAAAGGGACATTTAACTGGATAAATGGCCAAATACAAGTAGTTTTATGTGCCAATTGTTACTAACAGGAAAGATGTGTAACATAATCTGAGAGGCATTCATGAAGATTTGGACACCTAAGTTGCTTTTACTTATTTGAGTATTAACATATTTTGTATACACATTCATTAAATATATATGCTTGCATATATGTAATTCAATGCAGTGACACACATTTATGAAATCACACTTATTGTGTAGTAGAGAGAGAAAGATGTACCTTGTACTTTTGCAATGTTACCTTCAATATCTCAAAATATATCTAGTTTGGGTGACTATTTTTCTGAACCATATTCAGTAGATCTTTCTTTCTTCTTCACATGTTTTCTATTTTATTAATTCCCTTTTCTTTTGATCTGTGTGCTGTTTTCAGTGTCATTCCTGGGGAAAAGAGAAAAACATTGCTTTAAGCACCCTACTGTGCCAAATTGCCAATCAGATGAAAACACTGAAACCCAGGATAGTTGGAAGTGTGCGCTAAATGCGGATAATGAGCCAACATCAAATGTAGAGATGGCAGTTGGTTCATCCCACTTTTCTTTTCACCAGAGACTTTCTGATTCGGTCTTGGAAGCGCAGCGTACTGGTTCTAGTTTAAGTGATAATTCAGATGTTTTGAAAGAGAATGATGATATGGTGCTTTCTAAGCTTCGGAAAGACCAATCTCTATACCGTTCCAGCACAGTAGTCATGAAAAAGGGAAGACGTAGTGCATATTCTCAACTCACATTAAAGTCTTTTTTCAAGCAACCCAAGGCTGCAAATTCTTTCGATACTGCAAACGCAAAAGCACCTCAAGTACAAGCAGATTGGCAAGAAGAGAATGAAAATATGTTTCATAAAACAGAGTCGTCATGTGATAAACGCCTTCCAGAAAACATTGAAGAAAACAGCTCTGAATTGACTGTACCCATCACGGATGCATGTGGGCAGGACTTAAGTTTTTCTTCAAAGATGGAGAAGGGTAACGCTGTACTGGAGTGGCAGAAGATTCAAGAGAAAATGAGGACCAGTATACCTCTCTGCAAGGGTCATCATGAACCTTGTGTTGCAAGATCTGTTAAAAAAGGTTCAAATGTTGGTCGACGGTTTTATGTCTGTGCTCGTGCTAAGGTAATTGATCTATCAGATTGTTTTATGACATGCTTATTTATTGTTCTTTTTGTTTGCTACCATATTTCTTATTATTTAAAGTATTTCCTATAGGTTAATTTTCTTTAAGTATTTTAACTTTATTCAGTAGGATTCCATGTCAAATTCAGGAGGTTTCTATGTCATATATATTCCTGTGGCAGTTTCCTCCTTTTTTGTATATTTGACAGGTAGTATGGTTCATCAAAATCTGTGATGAAAAGAAGTCTGGATTCTGGAATAGGACAAAGATACAGGATAACCCCTCTAACAAAAAAAGGGATATAGAAAAAGGGTCATCAAATTTTCTTGTATGTTGTATGTGATGGTGACACAACAACATAGCAAATTGTGAAAGGTGCAAACTAAATGGTACAAGAAAGATGACTTGTTTGTTGTATGTGACGGACATGACATAGCTCCTAATAGAGGTCTTTGCCTAATAACTTTTTTCCATCAATCTATGATCGGGCGGAGAATATTTTTCTAACCTTATGCCTTTAATGGAGAGCTTGATCTGACTTTATGATCATCATCATTTTATTAGAAAAACTTTTGAGCTAGTAAGGCAGTGTAACTATGTTGTTTTGATATAGATGTGTCATCTGATTTTGTTAGAAGTTCGGGGTGTTTAGTAAAAATACCCTTAAGTTATAGATAGTTTAAATGTCTCTAATCTTAATTAAGTAGTCATTTCTTGTACGGTGCTGAAGTTTGCACTCTTTATTCATTGCTTTCTTTTCAGGGACCGGAATCTGAACCAGAGGCAAATTGTAATTACTTTCAATGGGCTCCTTCGAGATCCAAACAAAAAAGAAACTGAAGTAACTATCATCTGGTACTATGACAGGAACATCAACATGCACTGTGTATATATCAACTGTTTCACATTGTAAGTTCCATGTCGTTCATTCTTAAGCACTTGTGCGCAGCTATATATATTTTGTATGCATCCACTTTTGGCTAAAATCAGATCAATGATATAATTCTCAAACCATATTCTGAAGTTACTGTACTTAGATAAGCATGAAACCGTGTTCAATTTGATCCTATGATGCTAAATCCTCCTCTCCAAAACATATGAAAAATTCTGCTGTTGCCAACCGAAAAATGGGCATCTTTTTGGAAATTAAATCGATACTCTTGACATGATAAATGACTAATGCAATCTTTGTGAAATTTGAGGTTAGCTAGTTTAGAATTGTATTATCTACTAGTTGCATGTCAGACCTTGATGAACATTTCTGAATTTTTCCATGTGAACATTTAAACATTATATATCCTATGGACGTTGCTAGAACCCAATACATCAGGGTGGCTAATTTTCTGTAAGTGATGTATCCAAAATTCCTGCTAGCAAATGTAGAGGGATAAGTGCAACCGGACATAAGGAAAAAAAGAATTCTGCCTCAATGTTGAGTTAACACACCTCCATCAAATTCAACGGAAAAGGAAGATAATAACATCAGTTCCTGACAGCAACCATTTCAGGTTCTCGAAACTGTTCAGGATGAACTCCTGCTGTGATCTAGCCAATTTCTGGTCTCTTGGCTGTTATACCGAATAAAATTCCTTGTACTTCTCAAGATATTGATTAAATGCGAAAAAATCTGTTAATATCATTTTCCTTTCCTAAAACGTCTCTAGTGTGGGCTGCGATTTCAATTGCAAGAGTACAGTTTGATTTAGGAAGATAGTCGAGAGACCTATATTTAGGTGATGAGTATCTTGGACCAAATTAGATATACTAATCATGTAGTTTAGATCCATGGACTATCTTACAGCTACAATTATTAAATATATTAGCATGCAGCATTTAGTTCTCATTAATGCATTTTCTCTTGGATGTTGAATTTATGTGGTGGCCATATATTCACACAAATTTCAATGGTAAGAACTCAACTAGACATCAAGCTCTTACCCATGCACTTGGCTATGCGCTTAGTTGAGAAGGTTCGCAGCTTAGCTAGTGCTGAGAATTTACTGTGGAGATCTGTATGAGAGGATGAAGGGACAATCTATACGTGCAAATCTTGTTCACACTTAGGTGGAGAATGAGATGTTGAGCAACGCAGAGGACTAATGAAACAGACATTAGTAACCTTCTCAGCCTCAGGTGTCATCTTCCGTATAACCATGCATTTTTCCTTATATTTTCCAGATGTGACGTGGATAAAGTGGAGCATGGTTATGAAATAAAGAAGAACACTACTTCTGATGAGCTCACTTATAAAGCATGTTTAAATGCATTTGGCAATGAGAATGACACAAAGAGCGCAGAAAAGATTTTCAAAGAGCTGAAAAGGAGAAGAAATTAGCTCATGATCATATTTGGAGTGGCACCTAAATCAAAGTGACCAAGCCCGGCAAGATGAGGAAAGCATTGCAGGACATGGAGAAAATGCTCGGGGTGTAAGAATATATTCTCCGAACTGTTTACTTATCAGTTTCCATGCAGCTTTATCAGATTGGAGGAATGCATATATAATTTGTGATAAGATGTATTTGATCTATCAGAAGAAGCTTGTATTGATTACAAGTGCATGATACCAAAGAAGCGGTATCTATGTTGAATGAGAGTCGGTATCCAGTACACCGGACTCCTGGATTCGCGATTTCTACTACCCTCAAGCATAAGATGGTACTGAAAGCTGATAACCCCCACGCGACATCACAAAAGCAGGAACAGTGCCAAGCTATACAGCATCTGGGAGCTTATGACCTGGAGTCACCTCTTTTTCCAACTTCAGGAGACTTCTACTGCCTTCGGCCGAGGTTTTAGCTAACCCTAGCGTGTGATGTATTTATTTGTAATCCTGCCCAGAGTGTGTATTGCCTTATTTATTCAGTGGCAAGGAAGGGGAGGCAATATTGTTGTAATCATGCTCTTGAAAGAACTCATTAAGAATTTGTTACATCTAGTCTGCATCGATAACATAAGTTCGGTGGGAACTAAAAGATGTGTTTAGTTTTCACGGTCTGCAGTTTCCTTCAAGAAATGGCTTGCATCCGAGGTCAAATTTTCTTTCTAAGTGGAGTGGAAGCAAGTTATAATCTATTACAGACGGTGAAAAGGAAAATTATATCGTTTTAAACGCAAGGAAAACTTAGTAATGCGGAAGTACAAAGCTATGCCCCTGTCGGGATGTGCGCATATTCATTAATACAGCCAAATAAAGCGTGATGGCAGTATAACAATCATGGAGGGTTTATTAAACCTCATTATCTTATCTCATTTAAAAGTTTAATACTTTATGCAATAGGATGAGTGTGATGACAGTATAACTAAGGGAAATTGTATATATGCCGGCATGTTGAATCGCTTAAATCTCACATGGCTTTTCCTTAAAAAAAAAATAAAGGTATAAAAACCAGAGACATTTGAGCTGCACATGGCTTGGGCCTTCGAGATGGGTATGCTTCTTTCTTGGACTCAACCACTTGATTGTAACTCTAGATGGATGTTTCCCCAAGTAATCTTTTTTTTTTTCTGAAGCTTTTGCTTCTTGCATCAGCTTATAAGCTTCCTTGATGAGAGAAGAAGAAACGAAGCTCCAAACTAAATTAGTTAATGGAAATTACTAACCAATTTGTTGCTTAGCTTTCATGACAGCGCAGCAGAGACACTCTTCTAACATCTCCACCATAACTGGCAAATAAAAATTTGCGTTCATCTTGTATAAGCGCGTGATGTAATGGCCATACAACATAAGCATAGATAGCTACACAAGATAAATATGAGCACTTTTTTTTTTTTTAATTTAAAGAAATATAAGCTGTATTTAAGTAATGCCTTTTGGGAAAACTGTTTCCACAATAATCATATGGTCACGATTCACACAGCATCACGTCATGGTCTTATTCATACACAGCTCACCCAATTGGTCGGAGTAATTTACTCCTAGAGATATTTCTTTTAATTTGCTTTCCTCTCGAATAGCCCCACTCCAACAACAGACAAAGCCCGGGTCACCCAAAGCCTTTCATTTTCTTATTTCCCTTTATACCTAGCAAATCATCGTTACAGAATATGCAATAGGGACACCTCACCTGTCCTCACCATTGGTCCTATATTTTGGGCCCTTAAGTCATTTTCCTTTCTAAAAACATTCTAATTGTAACCGTCCGATAAAATTGGAATATCCTAAGACATCCATCGATTGCCTGTCCCCCATGATATTTTGGCAAAATCTAATCCCATATCATCCACGTCCTGCCAAAAAAAGCGGGGGGGGGGGGGGGGGGGGGGGGGGGGAATTAAAAATTTAAAAAAAAAAAACCACCAACGGCCACACACAAGAGAGATCTCTCACAACCCCCCACCAAAGACCAAACGCCTCTCCCCTCTCTCTTATATACCCAACAACCGTCGCGAAAAACACAAGAAAAGAAAACTAATTATTATATATCCCCGACGTCAAAATCAGCAACCCCGCTATAAATTTCCTTTACGATGCATCCTGCCTGTGCTGTTCTGTATCATCGCTCATCCGTCGTCATCCCCAGCCTCACCGAAGATAGGTCCCGACATCGAATATGGGATCCCAGATAAGCAAGCAGGTGGAGCGGAAGGAAGTCGATAGGTCGGAGAGGAGGGAGCTCGAGCGGTTATCGTGCCGGCGTCCGGCGAGCAATTTCCTGGGTGCGAGTACCGGCCGGAGGACCGGAAGCAGTGGATGCGTGGCTCGATTGACAAGCTGAGGGTCGACCAGATCGTTTGGCCGGGGACCCATGATTCCGCTACCAACAAGATCGGCGTCAGGTTCGTGTCCCGGCCTTTCGCGCAGTGCCAGAACTGCTCCATATACCAGCAACTCGTGACGGTGAGCTTCATCAATTTGAAGGCCATCATTTTTTACCTCCGAATTCACTATTGTAGTAGTATTTTTTTTTCTCGATTTGGTAAGTTTCATAATGGGTGGCACGAACTAAGCACCTCATATTGTAGCGTTTATGGATTATGTTGATTTGATGGATTTGAAAGTATTGTGTACTGAACAAGAAAAATCTCCTTACGTCCTAAAATTACGTTTAGAATGAGGAGCAAATTAACTAGACAAAATATTTCCCGATTATATAATTGTTGCAGGCTACAGTTTAGGCTCGTGCGGCCAAGAAAATAATATTAATATATGTCCGTAGGGCGCCCGTGTTCTGGACGTGAGAGTCCAAGAGAACCGTCGAGTCTGCCACGGAATCCTAACCACCTACTCCGTCGACGTCGTCCTCAACGACCTCAAACGCTTCCTCTCCGAGACCACGTCGGAGCTCGTCGTCCTCGAAATCCGCACCGAGTTCGGCCACGGACGAACCCCCCGGAGTTCGACAATAGCTACTCGCCGACAGCCCTCGGCGACCTCCTCGTCCCCGCAAAGGACGACGCCGTCTTCCGCCAGTGACCGTGGCCGAGGCTCCGCCCTTAAGCGGGTCATATGCCGTTTGTGAAACCGCGGTGCAAGTCCCCGGCCCCCCAAGCCCGGGCAGCCCGCTATGCGGAGCGCGTGGGCACTCTGATAGGACAATCTGCGGTAGCGACACGGGACCTGCCCAAAACGCGGGGCTAAGTTCGACAGCAACATGAAGCCACTTTGATGCGAGGCAGGCCGCCGGTGGGCTCGGAGGAAGTATTCTACCGGGTCGAAGAACACAGCGACGACCGCAGGGCCGGATAACCCCGTGGTGTGCGTGCGGCCGGTGACGGGGAGGATACGCGGGTACGCGAGGCTGTTCATATCGCAGGCGTTCGCCAAGGGGTTCGGCGACAGGCTGCAGGTATTTTCGACGGACTTCATTGATGGGGATTTCGTTGATGCGTGTTTTGGCCTGACTCGTGCGAGGTTAGAGGGGAAAGCTTGATTTATTTATATTTGATTGTTGATGTGTTCATGCGTAAATTGTTCTGGAAATAATCTGGTGATACTGATGAATTGTAGTGTTTTTATATAAATTGTTTGTGGAAATGAGAAACTATATAGATGTTTATGTTTCATTTATTAATTTTCTTGATATTTTATATGATTTCTTTTTTTTTTTTTTGGGGGGGGGGGGGGGGGGGGGGGGGGGGGGGACCCAGAAATCCTCGTTTCGTATATCGTTACAGTTTATAATTGCAGGCTTAGTGGCATTTGAAGAGTCTCGTTATTATATATAAGAAGAAAACACAGAGATATTTTTCGGTCATGATCGATTATTACTTAAGGGGCTGTTTGGATCGGTTTTTTGGATCAGTAAAAGGGAAGAAAGTTGACATTTTGGCACAGCTTTCTCCATCCTTTCCCTCCCCTTCCAAAAACCGGAACAAAACAGCCCCTAAATCTTACAATCGTCTAAATATTGTTGGACTGATTTTTTTTATAGCAAATAAGTTAACTGAAAGTTTTCATAGACAATTTATCCTACTAACCCTTTGGGCCTGTTTGACAAACATTTAAAACCGGATCAGATTTAAATCCGATCCAATTTTAGTGTTTTTTTGTGTTCGATAAAAGTTGAGTCAGAATTGGCTCAAGTTCTGTTAGTTCATGTTTAGCCTCTTAACCAGGCTAGAATTGATTCACCCCGAGCAACTCTAGCTTGGTTAAGAAATAAAACAAGGTTGGCTTGTTTTTTTTCCCAGGTTGCCAAAAGAAACCAAATCTGTGTTGTAAAAATCTTCGCAAAAGCATTCTCCGTCTTCGAAGTCCTCTCAAAGACATACAGTAGTATTTTGAGAGTTATAGATGATCCTAAGCCACCGTTTGCAAACAACAAAACCAAAATATCATTAGCATATTCAACTCTTCTAAAAGATCATTAGGAAGAGCAAAATTCGAAATTCTGGTAAAAGTTTTAGCACCTGCAAACAACAAAATATCATCAGCATATAAAAGACCGTTGGGAAAAGCAAAATTCAAAATTCTGGTAAAAGTTTTGGCGCATACATTATTATGAATAATCAGCCTCCGTTATCACCATACTGTTGTTAAAGTCGCATGCCATAAATTTTGGCAAGATCAACTTTTAGACTTATTACAAAAAAAAAAAAAGTACACATACAATTATCTTTCAGTAGAAAAAACTGAAGTCAACGAAAAGTTTAGTGTGTACCCTACCATGGCTTAAAACTAATGCATGATTTTAGTATGACCATCCCAACTACTCTCAACAACCCTGAACTAAAAGACATCACAACCTAGCAATTAGTTAATTTCACATTGACATTATCTATTTTTTAAGCACATTTTCACACTTGTCACACATTTGGGGTAATTATTTTATATTATCTCTCATTTTAACCTTTGACCCAATCACAGTTTGATTATGAACCTAATTAAGCTTCTTAAATATAGTTTCGCTTACTTCATTCAGACTGATCAAAACTTTAGGAATGTTCACCGTCACACAAGGAACGGCCCATAGGGATGAATTATGATAGAGGAAGGAGAAAGCGACTCCCAACTGTTCATGCTTAATAATTCAAGATAACTATTGATGATTCATCGTCGATCACCATCTATTCAACATTATTGAGAAGCTAGGTGGGACCCCAAGATATCTCCAACGCGTGCCTGCCGTCAAATGCCGACAAAGGGGGGCAAATGACTACCATCACGAGTTATTGGAGCTTCACCTATTTATTTCCGTAATGACATGAAAACAGAAGAAAGAAAATAAATGTCATGTTCGCTCCATGCTTCATCAGCTCAAATATCGCTATGCCTAGTAAGTTCGGGTGATCCAGACGGTTGAGAAGTTTCAATATGGCTCCACAGTCTCCAGTTTTATTCCAAGCTGGGTTATCGAAGGAAAAAGTAAGTTCGGTGATGTGCAAAGAAATTGATTAGCAAAATTATCCTCAAGGCTATCACTATGCTCAGTGAACTCAGCTAAAAGCCGAGCGATAGGGGAAAGAACAAATAGTCCCATGTCACAAAATCCATATACTATTTCAATTACTGAGGAACATTCATCAAGGCATTGCTCTGGATCCGTTTTGGACTCGGAACGCGCTATCTCGGGAGAAAAAGTAGCGTGAAAGATCAGAACAGCAGAATTTCATTGTAGCTTGTAATTGCAGCTTCTTCCTCTGTAATGCAGTGGCTCGATGTCTACGATGATGCTGAACTAATGAGTTTCACCGTGGTTTGCTGAGAAATTCCTTCCTCAATGCTTCCTCCAACTGTAACATTAATGATGAAAACAAACCTGTGTAGAAAACAAACATGTAGCTATTTAGCACAAAAGTATTACCAAACAGCAAAACAAAACTATGGCATTAAAATAGGCTATTAAGGCGGGAAATTTTATCTAGCCCATGATATGCAAGTATTTTCATACCACAGAGGAAAAAAAAGAATCCAACTATTTCCTTGATTATTTGTCACTTAATTATTTAGGGAACATATTAAACAAGATATTTGTCCCTGTGATAAGGAAAATGAATTGAGCAACTTTAGAATCTTTCCTCTGGAAGATTCATCTCAATTCTAAACTTTGTAGGGAGAAAGAGTGGACTGATATATACATCTTAGAGAGTGGACCAATATGTCTATCACCGGTACATTGTTTGATAATATGCTTGTGACAGTAATATAAAAAGAGTGCAATTGAGTGAATATGGTAACAAAAATTGAACAGAAAATCAGGTTTATATTCATCAACTTTCGCTACACAAGATGAGACGGTAAAATTCTCACTTTTACTTATACTTTGCTGAAAAAGAAACACAACACTCTGTTTTTTTGAGGTCACGGAGAAGATTATTCATGATGCATCTGCTAGCGAGGGAAAATATGATCTCAGCCAGCAAAGTGTCTGTATATAGAATGTGATGAACTAGAAACTAATAAGCCAATCAAAGTGGTCAACAGTACCCGTCAAGTATCAAAATTAAAGATTCTACAGTAAGACTTGCTATATGGTATATCGCTTTAGCCAGAGTTCAAACTTTTGTAAGTCAATGCAACTGTCATCCATATACTCCCCGATTAGCCACCATACAATATTTGTTCTCAAACCTCCAAGTAAAGAAGATGTTAATGATTATCTCAAAGAGTACACATTTGTGCAAACTCACAGTTTCATCATAGTGGCTCTGATGCTTGCAAAAGGTTTGATTGCTTGTTATTTTTGTAAAATTTAAAATTAAATACATCTTTAAAAAAACAAGACTAACTAACTACAACAAATTTTCTGCAGGAAACTCAGAAATCTCCACGTTCGCTGAAGTATGATTAAGCAGATCCAATATGTCTTCTATTGATTTCGGATAAAAATAATTAACAGTTGAAAATCAAAAGAGGATGCCACACCGACAACTTGATGATAAACGCCACCCAAAGAGCTAATAACAATATTAGGTTGAGGAACATTACAATGTGTATTTAAATGAATATGGCCAGGAAATGAGTGGAAAAGAACCTGAAAGTGGAGTTTCCTGATTCAATAGTGCTCCTCTTACTAGAAGTGTACCTGGAGTTTGCTCAAATACCTAGAAGACAAAATCTTGCAATTTCATAAACTATAGCTAAGTTATAATAGTAATAAAGCCATGTTCCAAAATTGAAGACATACGGAGATGCGAAAAGATAGTCCGCCAGAGCCATTTGCTGTTGGAACAGGAGAGTTTTCACCATCAGCATCATGGCTGCCTTCAGACATGTCAACAGTTTGCTCACTGGATAAAGTAACCTACAAAGATCTTCATGATTCTAGATCAGAAAGATAGATATGAACTAGTCCTCAAAGGAAAGCATCAAACGCCAAAAGAGAGCTTACATCAGCAGAAAACGTTGAGAAGTCAGATTTGCATGATGCACAATTAGCCTGGAAAAATGACTCCACTGACGTTAATACTTGAAAGGCACCAACGTGACGTGGACGACCCTGAAAGTGTCAAATGATATCAATAAGGAGAATCCACTTTTCTTAACTAGCCATACCAAAAAAGGAAAAACTAGAACTTGAAGCCCCAACAAGTAATATCAGACAATACACCAAGTCTTATAAAGTTATAATAACACAATTGAAGCCTATCAATTGATAACAAGGCAAATAATAACTATCACAATACGCTACGTTTAAAAAATATTGAACAGTAGCTGGCAGTGAGATAAATTAAGCCTGGTAAAATTTAAAGAATGAAGTAGATGAAAGCCAGGAGCTATTTTCTATTAGAGGTCATTCAAATGCAAGAAACATGGATATCTCTGGCATGTAGACATTGTTTTACATTATTTTTCTTGTAGATAACATTTCATCTGAAAGCATCAAGAAAGAAGTCCAGATAAAGCACCGAATAACTTTTAAACACTATAGGCAGCGAATTAGCTGAATGGAAGATAATTACCAAGAAGATGGTTTAGCCGCCGGGAAAGCCAGAAACCATGTAGTCAAGCATAAACCATAGAGTCAGAATGTGTAGAGATTTGGTACATGGTATAATGAAATTTTGAATTGATCAAACATATTTTGAGGCATGGATATCTCTGTCAGCTAATTTGTCAAAGAAGTAGCAACACAACATTAGTTTGGCATTTCACGAGAAGATCAAACATATTTTGAGACCAGACACCTCATGAGTGAAGACTGAAGAGTGTTAGTGTACAAGTTATGTCTCCATCCCTGTTGATCAAGTTTTTAACTACAACAACAGGAAAGTTTTTGCTGTTGAGACATACAACTAGATGGCTCCTCTATGCTTGCCCCACCTTAACTTCCCAAATATCCTTAAAAACAATAACTATGTAA